TTAAATAAATAAATTTTATGTGCTACTTCCTTTTAGATTATATTCTCTTATAATAACAAAGTCGAAAATTTTCATAGAATGTCCAAAATTTAATGTCCAGAAAATTTAAGAAAACTTTCCTATACTACCTCCTTTTCATTTATATTCTCCTATTACAAAATCGTAAATTTCGATTTTGTATTAGGAGAATATAATACAAAAAGAGGTAGCATACGGAATTTTTCTTGGAATTAGACTTAAAATAACTTGGAATAAGACTTAAAATTTTCGGGTATCTAGTTAAGATTTTCAATGAATTTTTCAACTTTATATTAGGAGAATATAATTCGATAGGAGGTGGTACAGAAAATTTTTAGAAAAATTCTAAGTCTAAATATTTTTGTCAATTTTTCGACTTTGTACTAGGAGAACATAAGTTGACAGGAGGTCGATCGAGAAATTTTTTCGAGAATTTCGGCAGTTCTTGGAAATGACGTCAAATTCTTGGAATTTTCGAAATTCTTAGAAGTGACGTCAAATTCCTGGAATTATCGAAATTCTCGAATGAAAAAAATTTTTCGTCAATTTTGCGATTTTGTATTAGGAGAACATAAGTTGTCAGGAGGTCGACCGAGAAATTTTTCCGAGAATTTCGGCAGTTCTTGGAAATGACGTCAAATTCTTGGAATTTTCGAAATTCTTAGAAATGACGTCAAATTCCTGGAATTATCGAAATTCTCGAATGAAAAAAATTTTTCGTCAATTTTGCGATTTTGTATTAGGAGAACATAAGTTGACAGGAGGTCGATCGAGAAATTTTTCCGAGAATTTCGGCAGTTCTTGGAAATGACGTCAAATTCTTGGAATAGATTGAATGAATGAATGTTTTGACTAATATTTCGATTTTATTAGGAAAAATAGAATTTAATCCGAAATTTTTCAATTTATTTTCATTAAAAAGAATAAGCATTATTAAATTTTGTATATTACCTATACTTACCTGAAATACTTACCTTAGAACTGCTATTATGTTTATATTAATTTTTTTTTTTCAACAGTTTTCTTAAATCTAGACATACTTACCATATGCGCACTTATCCTTCTAATATTTTTTATAATTAAAATACGCAAAAGATATATGATGATGTAGAAATCTAAAAAAAATATAAAAAATATATAGAAACATATAAAAAAGTTAATTTATATGTAATATACCTAAAAATTAATATATACGTGAAATATGTTATAAAAATTTGTACGTAGTTTATATACGAGCTATTCCACATTATTTTATATATTATAAAATATTTTGCTTGTTTTGAATAATATTAAAAAATAGTTTAAATAAATGTTAAATTGTTTCAAGAGAAGCATATGTCATCTTATTTGCTTTTTGTATGTGGATTTGTGGACTTTTCAAATTGAATTATATATTTTTAATATACTAGATGCTGTTTGATAATTTTTATAAATGAATTTTCAATTATGGAAATCGAAATATTAATATTTTTTGAGATATTAACAATAAATCATGTATATAAGATAAAACACTGTGTGTATAATTATAGTTTTATATCATTAATTAATTTTAATTAAAAGAAATAAGATTTTTAAACCCAGTATAATTTTATAATGAGGTTAATCGTACATAAAAAGTATATTATATAATTAAAATATTTAATTAGAATATCATTTTTTATAAAATTCTATAAATAGTTCATGATTACGCAATTTTTTATTTTTTTATTTTATTTATCTAACTTTTATTTTTTCCAGTTGATTAAAGTACCGATATTTGCAGTATCACATATGAATTTCTTCTGTTTATATTATTTATTATTATTCAAAATTATTTTCTCTTTTTACCAGAGATGTATCTGCTGCAGTTAACCGAAAGGTCTCGAATTTGTTCCGCTGGTATTTCCATAGACTCAGCCATGGAAACATGTAGTATGTATCCTATGTACCTGTCTACGAACACCCTGGGGACCGATACTCCGTGTCTCCATAAGACTACCAAAGTTATGCCTACGTTTGCTTACCCCACGATGCAAGGTACTGTGATATGTTATCCCTTGGAATGGCACGTGTTCGCCTTGTGATTCTATTGCAATACCAATAAGGTACATTTGATCTTCTTTCGTTTGCAAATTGAGCGAAGTAAGACTTCAAATTGAATTAAATCGAGAACAAGTTTAATTAATAGAAATATTTCAATTCTGATAAAAATATTTGGTACGATAATTGACATTATTTTTTTTAACATAACCTAATCTAAATCTAATTACATGTCTATACTAATTTCGATATTAATTGAAAATTTAAAAATATTTTTTATAATGATAACCTAATAATCTCCAATATAATCTAGTATAATCTAATATAATAAGCCTAATTAAATATATTAAGATGTTAAACTATTTGTAAAAATATTTTGTCTTCTATTCAAAATAATCTAACTTCTTCAATTTAATATAAATTTCATAATGGTTATTCAAGATAATAGAAAACTTATAAAAATGACAACCTAAATCTAATTTTAACTTACTTAAATAAAATAAAATTGATCATAAAAATATTATAAAAAATATTGTTAAAAGAAATTTTAAGTAACTAAATTTATATTAATCATGATAAATATATATTATTTTAATTCTACAGTAATGTAATTTAATAGTGAAATAAAGAACTACATAGACTGCATAGTAAAAAACTAAATATTAAAAATTGGATAAAAAATATTCGAATAGCCAGATATTTTTATGATTAATTGTATATAAGAATTTATTCTGGATCTATTTTATAAATAAAATTTATTACATTACATAAAAAAGTGAAGAAAATGATATAATATAGTTTACGCAGTAAAAGTTTTTCTATTCTGTGCACGCACAAGCAGATAGAAAGAAGGATGAGGATTCATTAAAGCTGACACACGTTCTTTGAAAACTGGACAATTAGTTACCAAGTATATAGACCTGGATAAATGGACAATCTGAGTAGTGAATGCAGCAGGCATCTTGCCAATAAACTGGCCGGTAGCAGGCACGTGCGAGCGATTCTTGAATTCGGATCAAGTAAAGCGACGGTAGATATGATTAACTGCATTGTTTGAATTTCAAGTCGATCGGTAAACAGAACATAATGTTACGAGATTTAATATCCAACTCATGTTACGTAAAATTTATAGTTTTTTTTTTTTTAATTATGGTCTTTTTCGGTATTTTTATACATTAAGATTTAAGAATAAAAAGATATATTCCTTCATTATAAATAAATACTGTAATTTAATCAATATATTGACCAACATTAAGATAACATAAGATAGTATATAATTCTTAGAAATATAAAATATAGAAATAAATAATATAATTCCAAATTTTATATTCTATCATTAAGAATAAATTCTATATATTATAAAATAATAGCACATTAAGATAACTTTATACAACTTCTTTCAATTCTTTATTTAATCTTTTCTAATATAAATATCAAATATTGAAATGAATAAAGTAATTTTACCTTTGGAATTTTATATTATGACAAAAAAGATAACTTAACCTCACAATCTCTTCTTTCACGTATTATTAATAATTTTTTCACATATATTCATTAGATATTAAAATAATTCACTTTTAAGAAACAATATAATAAAAATTGAAGTCACATTTTAGTAAAATGAATCATGTGCAGTCAATTTTTATATATTAAAATCAAGTTAAAATCACTAATTTGATATTGAATTACATTTAATATTGAAACACATTTATAATATGACTATTGCACTATTAAAAATCAAAGAATTAAGAGATTAATTAAACTTTTCTCAATTTTTATTGCACCAAATCATCAAATCACTGATGAAATAAAAATATTCAAAGGATGTGATAAATCTTCGCCTTGAATCGGTGAAAGAATCATCCGGGGACTAAGCGTTTGCGCAAGAATGGGAAACTGAAAGAAAATAAAAACTAGAGAAAAAGGGATGAAGATAGTTGACACGTAACTTAATACGAGCGCGTCTTGTTTACGACGTTATAAAATTACCGGGTCGATGTACAGAACTGGAATGGAACGATAAGAATGAAACGTGTAAGTTTTCTAGGCGCGTGCAGTCTTTCTAAGTCTTTCTAAAATTTCAAATTATTGTCCCAATCGGCGAATATTTAATGTGATTCCTTAGATTTTGTGTTGAATCAAGAGAATTTTACCATTCTATGCTCAAAGAAAGCAATAGAGAAGGATTTTTTGTATGCTTGTGATATTTGTGAGGTTATGTTGATATTATTTTAGAGAAAAAATTGATATTAGATAAAAATACAATATTTATTTGTTATGATATGATGAATATGATATAAATTAATTTTTTTTATATCTAAAAGAAAATTTTTAAATATCTAAAGAATAGAGAATAGAGAAGAAGTGAAAAAATTAAATATTCTTAAAAATATTTTTCTTATGATAAAAATATAAATATAAAAGAAAATAATTTAATATCTATGATAAAAGAAGAATAGAAAATTAAAAAAGATTGTATTAGATTTGATTATGTTATTTTAATTATAATTCCATCAGAAAAAAATAAAAAAAAATAAAAAATATTGAATGAATTATAACACACATTTATATTAGAATATTATGAAAATAATGTTTAATCTGATTTTATATAATTATCATTATAAAAAAAAATAAAAGTATAGAATAAATTACAATATTTCTTTGCAATGAAAAAAAATATTATATTCTAATAATGAAATAATTTAATTTAATAATAATTGGATATCTGTCATAAAAAATATGAAAGAAAAAAGAAATTGTAAACATAGTAATGCAAAATATTATAATTATTTTGTAATTAATATTGGACAATCTTTTAATTTTTGATTATTTACAGCAGATTGATGGGCCTTAAAGAATGAATTAATGAAAAAATCAAATTAATCAATTAGATATAATATTTTGAATTTCAAATATCTATATATTAAAAATTGTTTAATAAATTTGCAATTCAGATATCATTTCTAAGTAAAAAAAATAAAAATAAATGCTCATTTATTATCTAAAAATAACACAACCACTTTTGTGTTATACTTAGACTTTTAAATATAAATTAATATAACCCTTCTTCCTGTAAACTTCTTAATTATCCCACCAAAATGATAAAGTCCCCTGTAACACAGAATTAAACAAGAAATTAAAAGAAGAAAATTATTTTTTATAGAGCCTTTAAGGGGACTTGGCGAGATAGGAAATTAGAACAGAATTATTCCAAACAGAGCCAACTCGTAAAGGGGGTAAATGAAGGAACGTACACGGCCATTCTAACTCGAAATTTATATTGCGAACCACGTTTTACATATAATCCTTGTGGAAGAATAAAGATCCCTTTGAATTATCAATTTTGGTCAAGGGACGACCGACATCAAATCGGACTGTGTATCCTCATCAAGAATTATTTTAGAAAATATTAGAAAATATTTTAGAAAATATTTTTAAATATTTATAAATTTCTGTAAAATTTGTATATATCTTAGGAATAAAAATAAAATATATATAGAAAAAAAATTAATATTTTAAAATCACTTTTAAATTAGTAATACATAAAAGAGAAAAAATAAATACTTGTCTTGGTTTAGATATATGGAGTCAAAAGTGTTATGTTTATGGATGCTTGTAAATTTTATTTAAGGAATACATAATAAAAATAAGATATATCAGAAAAAGAAAATTCACTTTTTGAAAATTCTAAGTTAATAATGGATAACAATAAAAAGATATTTGATTTTCGTGTAAATATCTGGAACCAAAGGATTACGTTTGTAAATTTTTGTAAAATTCGTATTTTTTGAGAAAATAAAATATATATATCATAAAAAAAGATTCAATAACGGGTAAAAAGGAAAAGGCTTTCTTTGGTTTCTTTACCTGGGATTGAAGGGTTTCCTCATCGTAAATTTTAATTTGTCACTTCGGTCATCACAATGCAAGGAACGCTATGTGACTTCCTCAACATTTCTTCGAAAAAAATTCTACCCATTTTCCAAGATATATTACGATATTCGAAATCTCACTATTTAACATATCCTAAAAAGAAAATATGCACAAAGAAAGCAATTAATAAATTACAAATTTTTACAATGTTTTCAAATGCTAAATAAAAATATATTAACACCTTATAAAAAAGATTTTTATTACTTATAAAATATTGTTCAATGTGATATTCGAAAAAGTTGAAAGTGTAATAGGAAAGAATTTAAAGAATGAAAGTGTTGTTTGGCTAATAATCAGATGAAAAAATTGCCATGTTTTATCGAGCATTGACGTCAGAGCTCAGATTAAGTTTGACTTAGGTCTGGGTTAAGGTCATAGACGGAGCGTGCGCACGAGAATTTTTTCGATCAAAATTCCTCAATACATTCGTGTCCAATTCATGATAGTTGATCATTTTCAATCTTAAATAACATTTTCGATATAGAAGTACTTAGATGAATAAATGTATAAAATTTAAGGCACAAATCATACATTTAAATACATAATAAAACAATAAAAAAAAAAAGTGAATTTAAAATAAAAGTAAAAATATTAGTGAATTTTGAAAAAAATTTTATTCTTAATTATTTTATAAATCAAAATAGAATATTTATATTCCAATATAGTTTAATTATATCTCCTTTTATAATACTTATAATGAATATAGATAGAAACAATAAATGAAAGGAAAAAAGAATATATATATATATAAAAAGTAAATATATATATATAAATTTTGCAAAAAAAAAATCAAAATATTTTATTTCTCTCAAAAAATTTTCATTTTTTTTATTATAAGTTTTATCTATTACTATACTAAAAAAAAAAACAGTTCTATTTCTAAAATAAAAAAAAAATAAAAAAAATTAAAATACTAAAAAAATTCCTTAAAGAATTCTTATTTGCTTCTAACAGTGAATTTCACCGAATTATATCCGAAATAACTAATAAAACCCTCAATTCCAGCAAAAAAAAAAAAAAAACTAATATATACTTTGAAGAAGACTAGAACAAAGTGCAACGAACAAGAATGGATTCGCTATGTCGAGCCACACCCCGACGCTCAACACTAAGGGTTAAAAAACAAGAAGAACAGTCGCGCGATCGATCGAGACGATGTAACTGCCCGTTGGAAACGAGTGGTCAGGTCTGGGATAGAAACAAAGAGTACCTGAAATTTGCATACGTAGGGAACAACCTACGCAACTGACAAAGAACCAATCGAAAAAGAGAAGGAAAAAGGGAGAAAGAAGAAATATCAAAGGAATTATAATAAGGAATCGATTTGTCGTTCGATTTGCTTTTATTTTCGTGGTTGGACGGGTCCCTTCCACCTACGAGACGATTACCGGTCAAAATTGCAAGAAGGAAGGCCGACCATCAGGAATTCCATGCACGATCCCCTCTTTTCTGGTCTTTGGAATCGTGTTTTGTCCCTGTTGACCATTCCAACGGGGACATGAGTCGGATAAACCGGGTGTAATAAACACAGGAACATAATTATCCGGGCACAGAAGGTGGATAAGGACGGTGTCTTTTCTGGTTGGGACGAGGAAGGGTACGTGGTTGGTTTATATTAGTAATTTCGGTCTTCGAATGTGCAGACTGTTTTATAAATATTGAGAAGATAGTGGTAAATGAGGCATGGAGAATGGAATAATTTAAATGGATGCATATTCCTGTATATGATTTTGTTTTAATTACTTGTATCAAGTTGATCTTGATATGAGGATTATGAAGTTGTATTGATGATTTTTTAATTGTAGATTGAATAACTTAAAAATTCGTGTTTGGAATAAATATTGAATCTTATTAAAATTTGTAATTTTTCTTTGGATTCTAAATTTAAATCCTCTTTAATGAAATATTTAATATAGTATGATATCATCTGATATCAGTAATTGTATTATAGAAGAATTGTAACTAATTAAATTATGAAATTATGATATCATCTTATGACTAAAATTGTGTAAAATTGCTTTATCGTAAATCCTTTAATTATAAAATATAAAATAGTCTTGGAAATTTAAATATAATAGAATAGTTTCATAATAACAAATATTTTATGATAATTAATCTTTCTATTCTCCAAATATATATTAAAGCATTGAACAAGAAAGAAAATAAGAAAAAAGAAAATGCAATAAAATACTGGTATTATAAAAGTTATTTCAATTATAAAATATTTTATAAATATTCATTTATAAAAATTCATAAAATGTATCTAACTATTGTATCTACAGCATACATTAATCTTAATAGTAAAAATATTGATTCTACAATTCTATAATTATTGTAATTATAGAATGTAAAATGTTTTTAGAGATTTAAATATTTAATTATTATCTTTTATAATAAAATCTGTAATAACATATTATTATCTATTGTATATCAAATATATGTATTATATAATAAAAACATTGATCATATAATGATATTAAAAATAATATTCAACTTACACTAATTTTTATTTTTAAAATTATAAAAAAGTTACTATTTATATTAAATTACCTAAAAGCACTATGAATATTAATATTATAGATATTATAATATTATAGATATAATAAGTACAATATACTTTTCAGTCCAATATTAGCAGTGGCGATGCGAATGTTGTAAATCAAACCTAATGAGGCTTAATGTAAGGCGTTGGATCAACTATCTGCTTGATTCTATTCGTTTACTGCTGAGATTTACGACGAGATCTAAGCAATCTGATAAAGTTAAACGAGTTCCGTGATCGGAAGATTTAAGTGTACACGCGTCAATTTTTTGAGAATAAATGTGCATGAAATAGGCAATCAAAAAAGAAACTAACCTAACTTATAATGTGATTAAGCAAATATGAATTTCGAATTAAAATGTTAATATTTGTTTTAAAAAAGAAATATTTATATCGTATAAATAATATGTAATATGAAAAATTTACAGAAACAATTTGGTTTTCTGATTGTCTCGTTTTCTATATTTTCTATTTTCTACTGTATTTGTTACTTCATTAATTATGAATACCGATGACGAGTGAATCTAACCTCTTACAATCTCTTTTAATATTTTTTATTTTAAATATTTATTTATTATATACTATATTAAATTTTTTTTATTAGACACGATAGATATAATGACAAATATATGAGAGGAAGAATTATTACTGATTAATATATCCTTGCATATTTTAAAGTAGAATAATAGAACATTTTTTTAAAGCGGAAAACAAATCACAAACATGTAACTAATTTAAAAAAAGCTTATATACAATGAAATATCAAATTTATCTTGATAAAATTAAAAAATTATAAATTGTTATAAATTTTAAAGACATATATTTAAAAACAACACAATTTCCTATCAATATACGATACGTATCTTCACGAAACGAAAAGAAATTAACGAATATTTGAAGTAAAGAGTAAGAGCAGCGTTTAAAGCGGTAGAGACATCTATCAGCAAAATACGAAAGCCGTGGGTTGCGGCTACGCCCGCTAGAGCGCATGTTCGTCCCTCTTCATAATGGCCGCCGTGGAGATCGCCACTATTGGTCGAGAGCTCGGCAGCCATCACGAATTTCAGGCACGAATTACATAATGAAAATCATGATGGCCGACATAGCCAGCCAATAACATTGCAAGGGTGGCGCCTGCTAAAATTAGCCTGAAAAATGGCGTCTTCGCGTTATAACACGACTTTGTAAAACAAAGAGTCTGCGAGATTACGATAAAAAAACGAAAAATTTCTGAATAATCCAGACGAAAATAAACGAATCTCGTATTCTAGAAAATGAATAATGCGAAGAAATAAAAGAAATTATATTCACTTTTATACAATTAAAACAGTAGATAAATAACATTCAAAATTCAGATTTAATGTCAAATCATGACACTAGAATATTTATAATCAATCATTTTCAATGAGAATTAAATCCAATACGAGGAAATGGATAATTACATAATCGAGATCTCTTAAAATTGTCTGGTGAATGACGCGGACGACCTCGAGAGCATGGTCAAGAAACACACCAGCCGCGAAACTGTTTAGGGACAAGGAGGCAGACGGAACAGGCGTGTAAAAAGTTTTATGATCGCAGTCAATAAAGTGACGTAATCCAAGTGTTCTACTCGGTTGTAGTCTGTGACGTCAGAGGCCGGAAGTAGCGCGCGTAAATGCCACGAGCCTCGACTGTTCCGCGACAGAAGTCCCTCCACGTAGACAGGCTACCCCGGGGGTGGGTGGAGATCGCGTAAACGGTTGGAACGAGGGACAGAGAAACGGTTAAGGGTGAACGTGGGACGAAGAGGAACTCTGTTGGCTGACTAGAAGAGGAACGAAGAAAATACGAGTCGAGACAAGGATGGACCGTACGACGGAAAGAGAGAAGGTTAGAGAGCGAGAAAGAGAGAGAAGAGAGAAAGAGACAAAGATGAAGTCAGAGAGCTGGTTGATGGTTTACGACATTCCGTTGATGGCCGTAGTGGCGTAGTTGCGGCGTCGAGACCATAAAAATGTAACGAGCCTGTAAACGTTCGTTTATATTGGCCTCTGCCTCTTTACACCAGTCCGGATTGGGATAGGTCACGGCAATACCGTTCCTTCCGCTCTCTTTCTCTCTTTCTGCTGTACAACTATGTGACGTCACGTAAGCAGACGTATACGAAAGTATGGGCGTATAGTAAAATAAGCAGCGGTTACGTTTATACCAGCCGGTCTACAATGGCCGAACGTTGTTTGCAAAGAGGTTATGTACGCTTACGGCTATCAATAGTCGCGTCTATTTGAACTGATATCAAATTTTTATAAATAGATATGTCTCTTGGGTGTGTCTCGACATTCTTATAGGATTACAAGAATAATCGCTCTCGATGCAATACTCTTTAATGAAAAATGATAGCAAATCTTATAAAAAGTTTTGAAATACGTTTGTAATACTTAATAGATAGAAAAGATAATATAATTATAATCCATAATTTTTGTGTACAATTCATCAATTTCTGGATCTGAATCTGATAAAAAAAAAAACAAAAAAAATCATTGCTCTGTCGTAACAATGATTTCAAAGAATTTAAAAATACGATACCTTTTTCTCGTCATTTCCAGCTTTTTCAACATCTGCGCATCGCATCTGCGTGGATTGTCCGCGGTCACGGTACCCGGACAATTGTCTGCCAGCGTAGACAGTGTATAGACAGACGTTTGAATGGGTCGCGCCATTTTGCAGGATGGGGTGGAGAGGATAAAGGGGGAGAGAGGCTGCTTTATGGAAACATTGGAATGTTTTACAGGCGATAAACGCGGCCGTACAACGCTCCTGTTGCGGCGCGCCCCTGCCTCACATAAGCGTTATCGCGAGGATGGAAGCACCCTTCGCCGACCTTGACCTTTCTCCTCCTCCCCCGAAACCTGAATGAAAGAAACGTCTCGTTAAAGCGCGTCGCGGATCGTAAACTTGGGAATAGTCCCGGTGAACGAGACCATTGTCAGCCTCGTTAACCGCGTAACAATTCATTCAATTTTCCTTTGAAGATTCTTCTTCTTACTATATTCTTCGGTGTACGAATAAGGATATAAATTGAGAGCGGTGATGTCGCACTTTACGATTACTTAACAGCCATGGAATTATTCTAATCAATTTCTGGAAGTTGTATTCTGGAATGAATGAAACTGGGATTATTATTGATCTTGTTAATTATGTAATAGTTCGTTTAATTTTTTAGAAGATTCTTTTTATTTGTAAT